TGGTAAGCAATAACTTAGTGTGTGTTCAGATGTTGCAAAAATAGGGAATTGGGACCTTCAGTCAATTTGTAATACGGATGTGATAGGCAGCTAGTGAATCAACATGATTTCTCATGCATTTTCCAGCTCTGGATAGAGTATGATCAAGAAACAAGGTTCTGATTGTGAAGAAAGTTTAACATTTTATGTTTCTCCATCTTTTTCCAAGTATTCATTTTTGCATAACGCTGCTACAAACAGAACCTGGGGTGGCTGAACAACTGCTGAAGGATGTCAGAGAGAGTGTCTCTGAGATCATGAAGAATCCAAAGGAAAAGACCACTGGCATGGTAAAGGAAATTTTACATTTTTGTTTTTGACGTTTGCTGTTATGGAAACATATAGAGACAAGACAGTGGCACTTGCAGTTGGTAGAAAGCAAATTAGAGAATAGGATTTAAACCCTAGGTGTAGCCTGAAAAATCAGATTGGAAGTTTGGGGACATTGCTAAGTTTTATACCCAAGATCCTGTAATATCTATATTTCAGCTGTTGGCCAAGTATTTTCATTTAGTTGAGGCTGGTGAGCCTGCTATATTAATTCAAAGAGATTTCAGGCCAGACTGTAATTCACACATTCCTTAATTACATCTTAATTAGTTTACTAATTAATTGCACTGCATTTACTTTAGCTTTTGTTGAATGTCTCCAATGAGTAGTAGGCTATTTTTGTTTTACTTTTGTTGAATGTCTCCAATGAGTAGTAGGCTATTGACCAGGACTAGTTAGGACACAGAATATTTCTTTGCTTAGGCATAGTTACTTGGGCTGCCCTTCCCTTCCAGGTATGAATCATAGAATTGATTAAAGAAATACATTATTTGAATACAAACTAGTTGGGGAACTTCCTTCTCTAGCATTATTTTACGTTAGCATGGAGGTCTTTCAGAGAGGTCTTATCTGGGTGCGTTACCATCTGATGCGCACTGGATGGAAATTCAATAAAGGGCTTTTTTTCAGATTCTCTCTGTGTTTTAAGCATTTCACTTGTTATTTTCTGTTACATCTTTTATGTTTCAGCTTTCTTTAGAATTTCTGTAGGTGGTCTGCCCTTACTACACAACCCCTTTATATACCTAGGCATTTGATAACTAAGACAATCTGCTCTATTTTAGTATTTTTTAAATCATTTTAATCTGCTCCTGATTTTTATATGGCTTGTGGTTGCTTATTTCATAAGCACTGGATTTTATCGTTTGGGCATTACGCAAATACAAGGAACACATTTCAGAAGCAATGTTGCGTGGAATAAATCTTAGCTGATCATTGTGTTCTGTTTTTTTTGTTTCAATTTATAGAGTGCAATCTATGGTCTGGCACAAGGCATTCCTGACAGAAACCTGGTTTCAGAAATTGCTGGTGGTTATTTGGACAGCATCTACAGCACAGATCTTGTCCCCTTGGCTGATACCCACATGAATGGTTCTCCAAGCCCCCACTGATTTTTAGTCATATATCTCAGTTGTTGGATGATGACACACTAAACAATTCAAAGGAAAGGTACTATCACTTGGAAGTGTTTCTTCTGCAAATACAGCTCACAAGGCAGCTTGATCTGTTGGCATAACATTCCCTCTTAGGTTAAACACCGGTTCAACCCCCTATCTTAGACTGGCGGTTCAGATTTGTGGAACTTCAGGAATACTCTCTCTCTTTCTGTCTTTTAACTTCTGGTAATTATTTGTATTTCTTATGACTCACGGCTGCTTCTAGTCGTCCAAGAAACAGCAGGCTTAAGGATAATATAAGTCTGTTCCATCATTGTTCATGCTCAGGTGTTTTGCACTACTTCGGTGGATACAGATCTCTTGGTTGACATTCACACTGAGCAGTGAATTCAACAGAAGGTTGCACATAAACATCCTTCACAGATAATAGGGTAAAGTCAGGGTGAGTGTTTGGTTCTCTCTTTGGGAATTTGCTCTGAAGGAGAGGAAACGGATCAAAGGAACAAAGGAACACTTCCTTCTTTCCTTGTACCTTCGGGGTGCTTTTCCCTTTCCCTATAATGTTTTTTTTTACTGTGACCGTCTCCCCTGCCCCAAACAAGTCTTTGAGCCACGAAGATCCATGAAGGTACTTAGGATAAAACGGTTCTTCCATGTGTTAGGGGCTTTTGTCCTACTTTCTGTTTACTACAGTAGGAGAAAGCAAATTGCATTTCTTCACTGTCACTGTTCGAGAAGTTGAGCTGCTTCTTCAGCTGTTCCAGTTCCTAGTTCTGCCATTTTGTTAAGCGCCTTTATGGACTCAAGAGAACCAGTGACTCAGAAGGTAATTATTTGGAGGACCCAAGGCTCCTTTTCAGGCGTTGCCCTGATTTATCAGACACGTTCTCAAGATAGCACACACAAGATTTGCCTTAAATGCTGAGAGCATCTCTACTTGAGAAGCTAAGCAGATGATCCAATCCACCGATGATCACCTCCGTTATATTACTCTGAAAATAACTTCAACCTCAGGTATCATATAATCCTCCAGTGTTTCATGACGTCTCAGCTCAGTCCACCTGTAGGTAGCACTTTGCAACTGTGATGGGGATACCTATGGTCTTGAAGCTTGACTTCTAATGGGTTAGCGATACTGCTTCTATCCCGTTAGCGATACTGCTTCTATCCTTGCTTCTAGAAGGGAGCCAGTGGGCCAAATGGCAGGCACATTAACTTTTTATTCTAAGACTTGAGGTGTAACGCTAGGTTCACCAGCCTAGTTTTACAGAAGTGAATGGAGAACACTTCCATTCTGCCTTAAGTGTCCTCTATAGATAAGTAGGTACTTTGCTAGATCAGTCAAGGTCTCATTACATTCAGTCAGCAATAGTTCTCTGGGGAAAAAAAGCATATTTTAGTGGGATAGACTCATATTCCTTTCAGTTATTATTGTACAATCCTTTGTGACTTCATGAGTTCAGGGTCTATGTTTTGTGAATCTTCGGTTTAATCATGTTATCTCTTTGTGGCTATCTTTCTATTTCAATTTTGAATGGAGTGAATACAAAATAATTTGAAGGTTAATTGCCTAAGACATGTATGTGTATCGACTAGTTTGAAGAGATACACAGATACGGTTTCCAAACACATTATGAAAGGAAAACTCAATTGCATCCCTCATACCTATGTAATTTAATGAACTGTTTTCATTCATGTTCTAGAACGGAATGTTAATTTTGTAAGATCTTAATTTCAGTTTAATCCTTATACATGTTCAAAACTGCTTTGTTTCAATACTTAACCCATGTATACGTTGTCATACAATCTTGTACATGTTTTCGGGTTTAAAATAAATGTTATTATCTTCCTCAAATTCCAAGTTTAAAATATTGGAAGGTAGTTTTTTCCTGTCTTAAAGAGTTTGTTTATTGGAAAGCCGACCTCACCGATCAAGTTTGCCTTAGGCACCAAGATTATTAGGACTTCATGTCTGAAATTTTTGGCAAGCTAGGGACACTGAAATGGTTAAAAAAATCAAGGTGGCAATAAAAGAGCTTATCAACATTATTTTATTGTAGTAATTTTACTTCCCTTCATGTACAACTCTCAAGAATCTTTGGAGTAATTTCAATTCTGACTGAAATCCATTATTGTACAAGGATAATGAAAGTAAAAAAGGCATGGCAGAGACACAGCTGCCATCTTGAATTTTTTGAGCCCTCTACACATGCTATTGATCCTATCACATGTGTCGGGTATGTTGACAAATGAGAACCTAATTTTCTTCTAAAAATGTTGATTGACAGAACATGCAAGTGATTTTAATTTCCGATCTTCTGCTGTATGTTAAACTGGGTGTGGTTTTGCACTGCATGAGGGGTAAAGCTATCCTAAGGAAAAAAATAGCCATGATTTGCAATCTGTAGTATATAGATTGAGCCACAGTGGCGCAGTGGTTAGAGTGAGTACTGTAGGTTACTTTTGCTGACTGTCAGCTGCCTGCAATTTGGCACTTCAAATCCCACCAGGCTCAAGGTTGACTCAGCCTTCCTTCCTTCTGAGGTGGGTAAAATGAGGATCCAGATTGTTGGGAGCAAGAGGCTGACTCTGTAAAACCACTTAGGGCTGTAAAACACTGTGAAGCGGTATATAAGTCTAAGTGCTATTGCTTTAGGTTTCTACATCGCCAATCCAAAGTTCTGTCTACCTCAGTTTAAAAGATTAAGCAATTCCAGCATTTCCCTGTCTACCCCTTCCACGAAGTCAGGCAATACAAGAAACAGTGCGGAAGAGAAATGCACGAGGAAATAAATTTCAAATAGATTGTGTAAGGGCAGGCTTTATTAAAACTGACAACCACAGGCGACTTCTCCTGCACTTACTTAATACTGCTAAACAGGGTTACAGACTAAAGAACCCTAGAGACAGATATTGACACAAGACAGATTTATAATGGATAACAGATGAATTCACAGCACTATTGCAAGGTGTGACCCTACAGTAAGCAAATATGAAGCTTTGACCAAAAGATGGGTTCTCCCATATTAACTGAATACAGAGGCCAGGTTACGTTTGTCATGATACTTCCCAACAGGTTAAGACGTGGGAGCTACCTTTACAGACAAAGATGGCGGTGAGCATTTTAGGCTAGCGTGTTTGCAACTTGCTCTATAAAACTGGCCAAGTTGATGTCCCGTTCAGATAAGCCAGCACACTCATGTGTGCTTAAGGTTATATGAACCTGTAAAAAAATAAATAAATGCCCAATTAATACAGCAGTTATGAGAACATATAGCAGCATAGCTTCAAGTACCTGGAAGAGCTAAAAGATCCATTTTTAAAAGTACGGAATAATAAATGTTTTCAGTATCGTCATTCACTGCTGGCCTCAGTGCTTATCGATGAAATTTAAAACACTATCCCCATCAGGATTAGGGAAGTCAGTCACTTTGGTGTAGAAGATATTTTTTTTTTAAAAAAAGTTACAATTGCAATTGCTAGATTGAGCCACTACTATGATCTCCTTCCATAGCAACTGAGAGCCAATCTATAATTCACACCCCTCTCCTCTTCTTGCTGCGTTGTAAGTCTAGTAGTTGCTTAATCATATTTTATCATACCAGACTAGGTACTTCTGATAAGGCACACACACCACCGCTTTGCACAAAAGGTATAGGTTTGGGCACCTAGAAAGGCACAAACACTATGGATTTAATGGGCTTGTGCAACAATTGGCTTATATAGTTAATATAACTTTAAGCTTGAACAGAGATCCAGTTTGGGGTTGCGATAAAACATTAGAAGTTGGGGAGACCAGAACCAAGTGAGTGACTTGGAGCTAGTCTTTCTCTTTCAGACCTAGGAAGAAGGCAGTGGAAAACTTCCAAACAATCATTATCATCTCCATTTAATGACCCCATAATCCCTTGCAAGGTGGAGTCTGGGCAATGAATGGAGCAAGCAGAGTGTTTTAATGGCCAGATGCCCTTCCTGTCACCAATGCAGAGTTTTGTTCAGCAGACATATTCTCAGTGTGCCCAAGGAGAAATATCTGCTTTTACCTAGGATTGAACTCACAGCCTCCTGATTGTGAGGCGAGAGCTCCACTTCTAGGCCACTGCACCACTCTACTCCCAAACAATATTACCAAGAAAAGTGCAAGAATCATTCAAAGACAAAAAAAAAGGGCTTGAACAACTCTTTTTCTCTTACTTTGTTGTAAACATTAAACCATTCGGGATGATGATCCAGTTTTTCTGCTTGCAGAGCTACTCTGGTCATAAATCCAAAGGCCTGTTTGAAAGATGAAAGAAGGTTTTAGAAAAAGACCAGCAAAGAAGGGAAACTTCCAAACAGGCTCCACTAATAAGACCTATAATTACAACTGAAAGGTACACTGCACAAATCACACAATTAAGAGCCTATCGGTATACCTGAGTTAACTCTCCCAAGGACAGCATTTAGTTTATCGAGTTTGTGCAAAAATGCAGAATGAGACAGATTTAAGATTAAATAAAGCCCCCAGCTTACATGTGGGGGGCTGGGAATTGTAGTTCAGGAACATGTGCAATTCTGCAAGAGTGCTACTTTATTGTCAGAGTACAACATATGTACAATGAGATTGGCTGAGCCTCCCTTCGTGCAGGATTAGGATCGTAATTGGTATTGGGAGGAGTTCAATACTTTTATCTACCATCTCCAAAGGAAAAGTCATGGTATGAATGGGATTATTACATCCCTCCTTGTCAGGAAAAGGCCTCTAATGGGGGCAAACCAACAAGCGATGGGACTGCCAGACATAAGCAGATGTTTGAGTTGGTCTTTTCCTGACAAGCATGGAAGAAAAAAGGAAAATCCATGCACCTTTCTTGATTCTAAGCACTGGTATCCTCTCCCACGTTTTGCGATGGAGTGGAAAAATAATTAGGGCTGGACCTGAGGCTATTCGCTTTTGCATCCAAGGAACATTCAGACAGCAAATGCAGTTGGATTTCAGAGCCACTGTTTGCAGCTCCTGTCTCTGCAAGGCTATTGTGAGCACCAACAGGTAGTTCTATGCTCCTTTTTCTCTATTGCACTAAGACCAAAGCAATCTTGGTATCCCACATAAAGAATGTCTATGCAGATTCTCAATCATCCAGGTCATGGTTATCCCAAAAGCGTTCTGAAGATGTTTCTTGGATGAGAAGCCAAACTTTTTCAAACCAAAAAAAATCAAGAAAACCTAGTTGCCTTTTGAAAAAAGCACCTTTATAAAGTGCTTCATAAAGAGAAGCACCTGGCAAGTATTAATCCACTTAGACATGTTAAGAGTTGCAACACTGCAGGGTTAGGAACTGAGCATCTTTGCAGATTGCTGTGTCCTTGGGAAGGATTTGCATCTTAGCTGAACCAGTGAAGAACGGCATGCTTGGTCACTGTTCCCAACACATATGCATAAGCCTGATTTTCTCAAAATAAAATACGGATAAGTGCTTTTGTACCCGATTAAAGTCCTTGAAATGGAACTCCTTGTAGATAGCATCTCTGCCTTCCACCTCATTCCATCCTACTGCTCTGAGATTTGGCAGGAGCTGTTCTCTTTCTTCGCTGCTCAGTTGGTGAGCTTTTCCTGCCTAGGAGAAAATGGAGAAAGCATCTGCAACAAACATCTAGATAAACTTATCTCTAAGCATGAACCTCTACAAAGAAGCTATTTTCAGATGAATCTAGAGCATATCAGGTTTTTAAAAAAATTCTTCAGGAATCAATCTCATGAACAGCTACTTCGAGAAATAAGCTTAATGCTCACCAATGTTCCTTGACTGGCTTGGGGAGAGGATGGGAGATGTAGTCCCACACACAGAGAAGCACAAGTTGGGGAAAAGCTGGTACACACAGTGCTGAACACATGCATGTTGTACATGCTTTGATGCAACAGACATCCTGGCCTGATTTTGTTGCATCCAACTCTTGTTTAAGGTAAATGCAGGTTGTGGCGAACTTCAGCACATTAAAGTGGTGTGTTCCTTTGCTGACATGACCCAAACTGTTAGATTCCTATTTAGGTGGAACGCATGTCCCATTTTGCTTAGGTATCCTTGTGTTATTCTTCATTATAAGATTTATTATAAGCAGAAAATAAGGAGCTTCTATTTTGGGGAAGAATATATCCAAGAAGGTTTGTATTAGTACTAAAACCATCCTATAATTTACAGTCCTTTATTGGAAGCAGTTAATATGTGCTAAACCACCTTGTGTGCTAATATGTGCTAAACCACCCAGGGCGTGGTACAAAAGCAACAAAGCCACAAAGTAAGTAAAGTCCCTTTTAATTCCTCCAACTTGGCCTCCAATGTCCAGTTATCATCGGCTGGAGAAAAAAACTCTCCCAAGAACAGTTTTTTAAAGGGAAGAAATATAGTCCGAACCCAAAGTACATATAAATTATAATTAAAAACCAACACAAACCATGCTGCAGCAATTAATGAGACAGGGCAGGATAAGGAATTGCAGAACTCAAAAGATAACGAAACACACACAGTTGGGAGGACACCAGAAAACCCAGATAGGACTTGACAAACAAAGATAATGCACGCTTTGCTTCCAGCAAGGTTCTGTGCGCAAACACCCTCTTTATCCTGTTTCCCCAGCTGCAGCAAATGAAGGGAATCAGAGCTTTTTTCTGCCCCATAACCCACGTTGCTCTCTTATCCATTCCTCCCTGCATGCCCTAGGATGAAGAAGGGGTGGGCCTGGGTCTTCCTCTGAATGCCCAGCCAGACTGTGCCCTTCCCCAGTTTCCTCCCCAGCCACTGGAGCCACACTCCCACGCCCTGTCAGCTGTTCAACTTCCCCCTCAGAATCAGATTCCAACAGGGGCATGATACCTCGTTAGGGGTCTCTTCATGGCATAAACACTGCCACTAATTTGATGCCAAATAGGTCATTCAACACAGGTTTCGACTTGCTATTACAGTTGCAACCAGAATTTCGGCTGCTAAGCATGGTAGCTCTTAAAGAGAATCACATCCAATTTTATGACCTTTTTTTGCTGTTAAGTGAATCATGCAGTCATTAGCGAATCCAGCGTCCCCCATTGAGTTTGCTTGCCAGAAGCCAGCTGAGAAGGTCCCAAGTTGGGGATCACATGATCCCAGACTGATAAATATATGCTGGTCGTCAACCACTCCAATGTTCTTCACTTGACTGTGAGGATGCTCCCAACAGTCTTAAGGGCAAGCAATGGTTATGAGTCATTTTTTTCCAGTGCTGTTGTAACTTTGAATGGCTGCTTAACAAATGGTTGTAAGTCAAGGACTACCTACCTGTAGAATGTTTAAAGTTGCCATGCAGCAAAAAAAAAACAAAAAAAAAACCCAACACCATCAACTAGTCATTTTTATTGCTCAATTCTATCTACAGAGATAACCTTTATGGCCCTGCTAAATTCTAACTCAGAACCCCATGATGAATAGCTATGATAATTTACACTGATAATTTTACACCGTTTGGAAGTTGGCTGCAATGGACTTGGATGTTAAATAAAACCTTTATTAAAAGCAGAGTGAACTTTCCAGAGAAATGGTTAACTAGAAGACACCTACGTTTATATAAAATGGAGAAATCAAACCTTAATAAGCAACTTCTTTCTTAGTTAATGGTTAATGGCTATTATTGCATCATTAATCCCCGTCCTTTAAACTTCTGTGGATATTGGGAGGAGCACATGGTCACAAATAGGAGCATGCCAACAGCTCCTACCGGTTTCATACTGTCAGTTGGAAGGACAATTGGGCAACAGTTCTGGAAACTTTTTGATGAATGCTAACGCAAAGTAAAGAAAATGAAATCGAAGGGAGAATAATTCGGTCTGGATCCAAACACAACATTTTGTGACTTTCTTCCCTGAGGATTCCGGAGCTGAGAATCTCCAGCTGAAAAGATTTTATTCCCATCTTGGTCTTTGTAGCTGGCATAGATTCATTCTACTATAACCCACCTAGCAAAGTAATTGTGTACGTGCATACAAAACTACATTATATTACAGGTAGTCGTCAACTTGCAATGGTCATTGAAGGACCGTTCGAAGTTGCAAAGGCACTGGAAAAAGTGACTTAAGGCTATTTTTCACACTTACGACCACAGCAGCAGCTCCCATGGTCATGTGGATGCTTGACAACCACTTCATATTTATGACAGTTGCTGTGTCCCAAAAGGGTCATGTAATCCCCTTTTGCAACCTTCTGACAAGCAAAGTCAACGGGGAAGCGGGATTCACTTAGCAACCGTGTTACTAATTTAACAACTGAAATGATTCACTTAACAAATGTGACAAGTCATAAAATGAGGCAAAACTCACGTAACAAATTTCTCACTCAGCAACGTAAATTTTGGGCTGAATTGTGGCCGTATGTTGAGGACTACCTGTGTATCATATCAATTATATAACACTATGTTATATTTTTTATTTTTTATTTTATTTTATTTGGTTTGTCAATTGCTTACAAGATAAGAGGGATAAGTAAAAACATAGTTATGAATACATGGATACATATAAGAAAAATAAAAGAAACAATAGGACAGGGACAGTAGGCACATTGGTGCGCTTATGCACGCCCCCTACAGACCTCTTAGGAAAGGGGTGAGGTCAAGAGTAGAAAGTCTAAGGTTAAAGTTTTTGGGGTTTGAGGAAGAAACCACAGAGTCAGGTAAAGTATTCCAGACATTGACCACTCTGTTGCTGAAGTCGTATTTCCTGCAATCAAGTTTGGTGCGGTTTACCTTGAGTTTGTATCTATTGTGCGCTCTTGTATTGTTATGGTTGAAACTGAAGTATTCATTGACAGGTAGGACATTGCATTGTATGATTTTATATACTAAGATTGGACTGAAGGTGGCATAGTTCTAGATTTTCTGGGTCTAGAATTTCAAGTCTGGTGGCATAAGGTATGACATTTAATATACTTCATACAACACAAATATGGTTTCAAAGTGATAGTAAGACACCAATAAGCATTTGGAACATCTGCAGACTGCTTGATTTAGAGCCGGGGTGTCAAACTCAAGGCCCAGAGGCCGTGGGGGAGCTCTGGAAATAGCAAAGGACTGGCTCATGGTGCCTCTGCCGGCAAAAACGTGGCCCTCCCAAGCTCCATTTTTGCTGCCAGAGGGTTGCAGGAGGCTGTCCCAGCCGAAAACGGAGCTCAGGAGCTCGTTTTCTGTGGCAGAGTGCTCGGGCCACCACAGGCACGCCCCTGCGACATGAGTGATGTCAAGCTGGCCACGCCCACCCCAGGCCCTGAGGTCAAACAGGAGTTTGACACTCCTGATTTAGAGGAATGCGTAATTCTAGTGAAGAAGCTACGTTCACAATTCTGGAAGAAGGCCTCGACCGAATCTTTCATTGATTTTATAGTGTCCTAGAAAATATCCTGGGAGTTCCCCAGAAGAATTCCTTGCATGTTTCTCTGAAAACCCTCACTTTCATTGTTCTTAATGGATGCCACATGCAGCACTTCAGCAAATTGAAACCCGTACTGAGTAAACACTGCACAGCACAATAAACCTCCAGCCGCTGCCCTTTTACTGAGATCACCTGATAAAAGTGTTCCTGGTATCTTAGCGACAGCTGATAAGGCTTTTAGAGAAAGAGACAGACAAGGTTTATGTCCGTCAGTGATTTCAACCCACGCTTTTATTATTGGATAACTAAAAGCGAGGCAATTGGCGGGGGAGGGGGGGGAATGGAGAGTTAATATTATAAGAATGGATTTCAGACAATCGTGCTCAGAATAAGGTTGAAGTCAATGCCTTCAAGATATCACATAACTATCTGGTCATCTATCTTTGCACATATTAAATGCAGCAGATTTTTCTCGACTTAGCTTTGGTTAAATCCGTTGTATTAGGGGTTATTTTTGTAATCAATTATTTTATTATTATTCATTTTATAAATTTTCATTCATAAACATTTTTGAATAACAGTGCATTGGCAGAGCATTATTTACAAATAAAACACAACCAACATACGTTTGTAATAAATGTCAACATACAAACTAATAGCAATAGCAATGGTACTAATAGCAATAACAGTACTAATAGTATAACCAAAAGAGTTGATTGGTTTCTTCTTATGTTAGGTTAATTACATTTTTTCTCAATTACTACATTTATATTTATCTACCTCTTTCTTACTTTCTCTACTTTCTACTTCTTTTCTCTATCCCTTCATAAAATGTATTCCATATGTCTGAATCATCTTTGTCTTTAATTTTTAAAGTTAATCTATCCATTTCAGCCCAAATTTTCCTAATTACAACCTCATCTGGTAGAGTATTCATATTTTTCCAGTATTTAACATGATCAAGATGGGATAAATTAGGAATAATAATAATAATAGCAAAAACCACCTTGATTTAAAAAAAATTGCAGACTACAGGAACCAGGAGCATGAGGACACAGATGAACCCCCAAGTGCTTCAATGACCCTCTAGAACAGGGGTCCCCAAACTTGGCAACTTTAAGACTTGTGGACTTCAACTTCAAGTTTGGAGCCCTCTGCTCTAAAAGGATGCAAATGACCAGCTGTCTGCAAGGAATATAAATCCTTCCACTCCCCACTATCCTGTCAGAGCTGAAGAAGCTTCTTGGATGAGAAGCGAAACGTTTTCAAAAGAAAAAAACAACAAGAAAGTCCAGTTGCTTCTTGGAAAAAAGCACCTTTGGGACAACCATGACTTGGAGAACTGAGAATCACCACAGGCCTTGATTTAAAAGTTTCCTTTTGAGACGAACAAGCTTTCCATACCACACAAAGAAGTGATTATTCTAAAGGGACGGGTTCCGGGTTCATTCAAGGCAGTCACCCTAGATCAGGGGTGTCAAACTCGATTTCATTGAGGGCCGCATCAGGGTTGTGTTTGAGCTCGGGGGTGGGGGCAGGGGGAGCGTAGCCAGCTTGATGTCACTTGTGCCGGGGGCACCTGTGAAGGCCTGAGCACTCTACCGGCGAAAACGGGCTTCCGAGCTCTGTTTTCCCTGGCAGAGGATTACAGGAGGCCATCGTAGCCGAGGAGCTCCATTTTCACCGGCAGAGGCATTGCAGGCTGGTCCTTCACGGTTTCCAAGGTGGTCCCGTGGGGCAGATCTAAGCACCCCACAGGCCAGATCCGGGGGCCCGGGCCTTGAGTTTGACACCCCTGCCCTAGATAGTTATAGGACCAACATATCTTTTATACTCGGTGTCTACCAAGGACCAAATTGCACTGGCTGTGCTGGCTGTTGAAGTCTAAGGCAGAGTTGCCCAATGTTTCCAGCTTTCTGGACTGGTGCAGGGGGAGGGGCTGGTTCTGCATGAGCGGTCGGCAAATGTGTGTGTGTGTGTGTGTGTGTGTGTGTGTGTGCAGCTCTATTTGCTGCTTGCACAAGTGAGGATGTGTATGTGTGCTCGCACTCTCGCCAGCTGTTTCTGCGGCCTGGTTGCAAACCCCTCACAGCCCTCTAGTGCAGTGGTGGCTAACCTTTTTGGGCTCCTGTGCCAAAAATTGTTCACGCACTTGCACGCTCGCTCGTGCCAGCACCCAGAAGGCAATGGGCGCTCCCCCTTGCCCCCTATGGATGTGCATGCAATCCCCACCCCACCCCCAACCCTTACCTGCACTGCACCTCACAGCTGATTTTCAGCCAATTTGAGGCCTTTTTCGGCCTCCCAGAGGCTTGAAGAAGGTTTCTGCAGGCTTTGCAGGCCGAAAACTAGGCCCATTTCGTCGCTTCCAGTATTTCCGGAAAAACAGGAAGTGATGAAACGGGTCTAGTTTTTGGCCTGCAGAAGCCTTCCTCAAGCCTCTGGGAGACTGAAAAAAGCCTTAAACTGACTGAAAAATCAGCTGTGAGGCAGGCATATGCACAGTGAGGTAAGTTTGCCTGCAGTTTGCGTGCTGACACAAATGGCTCTGTGTGTGCCACCTGTGGCACGCGTGCCATAGGTTCACCATCACAGCTCTAGTGGGTTGCATGCAGCCCAGAGTTTGGGGACCCCTGGTCTACGATACCTGGAAGGCACCACCAAGTCTGATTATAAACATAGACTAGGAACAGAAACCATGCACCTTCAATGGGTAAAGTTCCCATCCTGGACTGCTAAGCTAACTGGTGTAATCAGATTTCTACAAACCTCAGTTTGGCAAAAGACAGTATAGGGTTTCCTGCTTGAGCAGGAGGTTGGACTGGAAGACCTCTAGGGTCCCTTCTGACTCAGTTATTCTCTTATTCCACCCAAGACTGTCCCACAATTCTCCATACAGCACTAATAATGACTGGAATTCCATGTCTCTTCTTTTGTCTTTTCTTCTGGGACATGAAGGATTTTCTGGCTGGTATAATTCTTGCTTGCCTAGCCCACCATCCTTTGACAAGCCTACATCCTTGTCACCAGGTTGCCAATCCCTGATCCCAGCAATGTACTTAATTGCATTTGATTTGTGTGGGGTCCAAAGTGAGAAGGATTTTGCTTTTGTTTGCAGATTCAAAGTTCATCACAAAACTGCTTTGCGCCAGCTGCTAATAGCCACAACCTTATTTTATCCCCCACCAATCCAATCCAGCTGCATTTCCCTGGTTAAGATTTCAATTTTTTTAGGGTGTGTGTGTGTGTGTGTGGAGAAACAAGTCTGAAACATTTCACCATATGTGCCTTTGATTACAACACATGCCACTCAATATTGCACAGATGTTTAAAAGAACACGTGCAACCAATTACAGCAAGCTGCAGGGAAAAAAAAAGTGAAGCAGAGAAGAGACCAGTTCAAGACCGGATAGTTTTTGTTTTTGTAGGTTCCAGACCTGAGAGAAAAGCAACAAAGGCCCAGAACATCTGGTCTTGCATCCAGGAGAAAACAACTGGAAATTGACCCTAAGTATAGCAACTCCTTTCTGGCTTCAGAAGGAGCAGCATTAACGTTACCCATCTCCCTTATACTCTTTAGGTCTGAACATATCTCTGTGCCTCCTCCTCCTCCTCTCCTCTTCCTCTTCTTCTCCCCTCCCCCCTCCCCAATCCTAGAAAACAGCTGGTTCTTCCTGGAAGCTTTGCAATAAAAGTTCCAAAGGTGCATTTTTTTTTCTTCAAGAGTCAACTGGGCGTTCTTTTTTCTTTTGAAGAAGTTTCATTTTTCATCTTAGAAACTTCTTCAACTCTGACAGGATGGTGATTAATGGGAGGATTTATACTTCTTGCGGACAGCTGATCATTTGCATCCTTTTAGTGAGTGGTTGAGGCCACCTGGGGGCTTATCTACGTCCTCAGGGTCACCTTGAGCAGTGCAAATGGCTTTGGAGTCTTCTTGAAACTACTGAAAGGACCATGTTGTAAACTGGAGATAGATGATGTCGTATCCCAGCCCTTCTGTTGAGAGAGGCTGTTCAGTTTGGTCATAGAGAGCCTCTTTGACTCCTCTTTCAAAGCAGCTGTCCTCTGTGTGCAAAATGTCTTCGAAAGAGTGGCCTTTTGTCTTTCAAATGCGGTCCATCTGCAAGTGTATAAATCCGTGATGGTGAACCTGTGGCACATGGGTCACAAGTGGCACGCAGAGCCATTTGTGCCGGCACGTGAGCCGCAGGCAAATTTACCTCACTGTGCATGCGCATGCCTCCCAGTTGATTTTTGGCTGGTTTGAGGCCTTTTTTTGGTCTCCCAGAGGCTTGAATACCCAGAGGTATTTCTGGAAATACCAGAAGTGATGAAACGGGCCTATTTTTTGGCCTGCAAAGGCTTTCCTCAATCCTCTGGGAGGCCAAAAAAGGCTTCAAACAGGCTGAAAATCAGCTGGGAGGCACAGTGCAGCTAAGGGGGCAGTGGCGGGGGGGGAATTGTGTATGCATGTGCAGGGAGCATGGGGGGCCATGCGCACATTGCCTTCTGGGTGCTGGCACGCAAGCGCGCGCACAATTTTTGGCACAGGAGCCCAAAAAGGTTAGCCACCACTGGTATAAATCCTTCCATTCCCCACCACATCCAGTCAGAGCTAAACAAGCTTCTTGGATGAGAAGCAAAACATTTTCAAAGACAAACCCAGAAAGCCCAGTTACCTCTTGGGAAAAAAAAACCAACCCAAAATTCTAGACCTAGAAAACCTAGAACTACGCCGCCTTCGGTCCGATCTAAATATGGTATATAAAATCATACATTGCAATGTCCTACCTGTCAATGAATATTTCAGCTTCAACCAAAACAATACAAGAGCAAACAATAGATACAAACTCAAGGTAAACCGCACCAAACTTGATTGCAGGAAATACAACTTCAGCAATAGAGTGGTCAATGTCTGGAATTCTACCTGACTCTGTGGTTTTTTTCCCCAAACCCCAAAAACTTTAACCTTAGACTGTCTACTCTTGACCTCACCCCTTTCCTAAGAGGTCTGTAGGGGGCGTGCATCAGCGCACCAACGTGCCTACCGTCCCTGTCCTATTGTTTCTTTTTATTTTTATTCCTATCCATTTCATGTATTCAGAACCATGTTTATACTTATACCTGTTATCTTATAATCGCTTGACAAAATAAAATAAAATAAAATAAATAAATAAACAAAACACCTTTTGGACACCCATGATCTGGATGACCGAGAATCTCCATGGATCCTTTGCCATTAAAAACAACAACAACAACAACTCATCTAGACCTACCTGTCAAATTAATCTCCTTGGCTGCGTTTTGTTAAGACGCCTCCCGGTGCGTTTCCCACACTTGCTACTCCGTCTGCCCTCCCTCCCTCCCGTCCCGAATAAGGTCGTAGTTGGGAGATGCGCCGCTCTTCCAAGAGACCTGGCGAAGCGTATGCAAGCGAGAGATGGAGACAGGTGGACAAATCATAGAAAATAGAGATGGGTAGAGACAGACAGTGGACAGACAGATGGATAGGCGCACGCAACCGGCGCAAACTCGATCTCGGCCACTTTCCCTTTCGCCGGGCTGAGTTCGGATTAAGAATTAACCGTGAGCTACCAAGATTTCCCCCCCACCCGCCCAACACCCCCATCTCAGCGCCAAGGCCCCCCCCTAGCCGGAGGGGGGGGGGCGGCGGCTTGCAACTTTCTCTGCCCCCCTCCCTCCCCCCGCAGCACCGCCAAGGGCTCCTCGGGACTCACCATGGCTGGCAAATCGCGGAGCGCAAAAGAAGCGTTGATTTCCAGCGCAACTCCGGAGGCGGAGGGGCGCGGCCTCGGATCAGTGCGGTGGGAGCGGAGGGAGGGAGGGGGGCGTGTCGGAGGGCTCCTGGACGGTCCCTCTGGAAGAAGAGAGGCCGAACACGGGTGGGTGGGTGTGCGCTGAAATGAGAGTCTCGGAGGTGGGGTGGCTTCTCGGACGTCTGGCCGCTGAGGCTCCCAGCCGCCTCTCTGCCTGGGGAAGGAAAGGATCTTGCAATCCCGAGGGATCTCGGGAAGATCAAAAGCGATCTGGGTTTTCCTCCCGCGGGCTGCTGTTGCTGCTGTTGCTGTTGCTG